ACCTCGTACTCCACCAAACTTCACACAATGAGAAATGCGAAAATCGCACATAAATGACTCAAAATGAAACACGATATACATAAACACAAAGTAATTGCAAGACGAAAATCCCTGTACGATTAATGAAGGGAATAACAAAAGGACGAAAAGAAAAACATACTTAAGAGCAAGCTTTCTGTAAGCAGTCTTAATTTCTTGATCAGAAGAATCCCTAGTCACAGAAAGCACCTCATAAGGGTCTCGTCTCAAAACAGGTGCCGATGACCCCTCCGATTTAGAACCCGCCATTGTTCCTCACCAAATTCACCTGTTTCCCTTATTTTTTTTCTCCTTCCTCTTAATCTTTTCCGAATTCCGAGATTCTATTCACCTTGAACTCAACAATCGACACTTAATTATCTGCTATCTGAATAATAATTCGCCCAAATACATCAAGAATCGAATTCCGCTTACAAATAGTAACCCTTGTATGCAAATCTGCAAGCAAAATGTAACCAACACAGACGATTTCTTAATACCGATTGAGATAAACGAGCTAGATTAGGGACGATATTCGATGTCTTGGATCGATTTAAACAAGCTCCTCGAAATTAATGATAACATCAAAATGAAAATTTTACCTATGACTGAGATCTATAACGCAACTGATTCAATTGAATTAACAAGTAACCTACGGCATTGACAAAGCTCATAAAATATAGTAATTGACAAAGAAAGAGCAAGGGTTTCAGAAGACTTGCCTTTGGAAATGCGAATTAGGGAAAAGAGGAGAAAACGCAGAGCGAGGCGGTGGCCAATGAGAGGCCTTCGATTTTCAGTATTTTCCTTCGCTTCTCTCTTTTCGCTCCTTGTGGCTTTTTCCATTTTTGCTGACGTCAAATGCTCTCAATATCTCCACCAATATTACTAGTATGCCATTCATGGGATAGTGTTACAAGCCTAACATTGATGGTGGTTTTGGCTCATTACATTTTGGGCCCGTTGGCTCGAGAGGCTATGACAAATTAAGTGCACGACGCCAGGGGAAGGAGTGCTGAAAATACTAAGAGGATTCGAGCGAGCTTGAGGAGGACTCGAGCTGCAGGGCCTAAGTTCGGCATTCTGAGGCTGAACGGAGGTTAAGTAGTGCATCGATGGATCAACTGGACTTACTGCGATACTCAACTTTTCAATGTTCAGCAGTTAGACTCAACAAATTATCTTTTTCTCCTTTTTGGGGAGGCAGTATTCTCAAGAGGGACTTAATCGATCATGTGAGAGGCATGTGGGGGGGGGGAGAGAGGGGGTCATGGGGCCTTGTGTGGGCCCGTCATAGATCAACCCGTTTGACCTAAGTCAGTTTATGGGTTTGGGTAAAGACGAGGGCCCAGCTCGGCGACGAATGCGCTTAGGTAGTGCATGGCCTACGCGCATGAGGACACGGTTGGCTAGCAAAAGTACGTGGGCACGGCTTGGA